TGATTCCTACAGAAAAAAAAAATAATAATAATAATAATAATAATAATAAATATCAAAATGGTGTTATCCCAAAACATTTGAAAGCTATGGTACAAGTTCATATTTAATTATTAATATATTTAATTATTAATTAATTAAAAAATCGTTCAGTTAGACAGGGCCAAACTTTAAAAACCCTCCATTATTTGAAACGTAAATGTTTTTAAAATATGCCTATCCCAATATGTAATGGCCAATATTCCAGCATGTTATTTCTGTTATTGCGAACTGGTAACATAAATTTTGAAATACCTCCAAAATACTGAACCTGCACCCACATAGGCATCTTGCCTCCCATATGAGTTGCATATACCGAACTTCAAACAATTATATTGAGTGCGAAAATTGGCAATATCGATCCACTCCATCAAGAACTTCTCCCGTAAAGGATCAAAATATTGAATAATTCAAACTCTTATGAAATGTGAAATAAGAGTCCGATTGTCTTTAAATCTGAAACATCCCAATATATCTACCAACACAAAATTTGGTATGGAGATGGAATACATCGGCCTCCCCCCTGGTACCTGCCCCACAAAGTGGTCAAATTTTGAAACAACAAATTTGTAAAAAGAGGTAGACCCATAGTTACTTTTGAGGATATTCATAGATTCACTTTCTGAGTTGATTTATACATGTGAGTCCGTCCATGTATTTTTGTGAACAAAGTGCAGACCGCAAAGACGAACCCTACTGAAATTTGTGATAATCGGATCAGATCTAGATAACGCTCCCATATGTCTTCAACCGATGTCGGATTAATTGTGCACCAAATGGCCAATATAAGTCCTAATTACCTGAATTTTGATTCATCCAACCAAATTCAATCTAGAAGGTTTATATTTTTTACATTTTTATACCCTGTAACACCTCGAGATATTGGTTACCCACATAGGAAGGTATATATGGATCTTCCTATCTCGCCGAGCTGAGTCGATTTAGCTATGTATGTCCGCCCGTCTGTCCATGTTAATTTGTAATCAAGCTACATGTCGCAATTATGGCCCGATCCTCACGAAACTCAAAATGGAGGTGGGGTTATGGTCAGAATAGAAGCCTATTGCTTTTGGAGATGATCGCATAATATTCATGGGTTGAAAATTTTCCTTATTTTGCAGTTGGTCTACATTGCAGTTGGTCTACATTGACGTTGGTCTATAGCTTAGGGCTAGGCAGAAGCCTTCTAATTTGGATAATATTTGGTGGGTGAAATAGACAATTAAATTTGTCTCAAATAAAAGTCAAATTTTCCATTAAACCTCGAATATTTTTAATCTCGCCGAAATCACAAATAGACGAAAAGGTCACTTCTGACGGTTACGTAGATGCCGATAGTAAAAATATCGAATATATTTAGCGAAATATATGCAATGTATGTATACAAAGGAAGGGAATGTTAGCTAGAATGGCTGGACCGATTTTGACAAATTTTGTCAATTCAAAATGTCCTCTTGTCATAAAAGTATAAAATATTAAAAAATCGCGTAAAAAGATGCCATAAATGATGTTAATATAGATTTTATAGTATTTTGTTACATTTTTTTAATGTTCTTCATATTTTTTATCGCATGCGATTTTTTTAATTTGACTTATAATATTGAAGTATACATTTTGTAATATTTTTTTACCATACAACACAGGTTAGGTTTATTTTATACAGATTGTAACTATCGTCCGATCTTCATGAAAATTTTCACAAGGGTAGGGTTAAGCTCAGAAGAGCTAGGCCCATTGTTTCCGAAGATGTCCGCAAAATATTTAGGGGTTGAACAGAAATTTTCCTGATTTTGCAGCCGTTAAAAAGGTCACAAATAGAAACCAAAGGACACGAAATCTCGCATGAAATTAGAATTTACGACAGCGGGTAGAATTTACCACTACTTTTGTGTGAAAAAGTATCAACATTTCAATTGTACCAAATTTGTTAAAATAACTTAAGGCGATACCCAAAATACACAAAAGGCGAACTTCTAGCTTTTTTATGCTGATTTCGTTGACGAATATAGCCAAATATCTTAGATAAGCAAGTCATATAGATGAGTCTAAATTTAGAGATACATAGGGGTCTCTCGCTTTTGGAGATGATCGCAAAATATTTACGGGTTCAGTCCTTATATTTCGTACATCCGACCGAATTCAGTCTAGAAGCAAGTACATTGAATTTGGAGAAAATCGGTTCAGATATAGCTATAGCATCCATATATATCATCATAACCCGATTTCGGGTTAATTGTGTACCAAATATCTAATATCAGTCCAAATGACCTGAATTTTGGCAGATCCGACCGAATCCAGCCTAGAAATACATTAAATTTGGAATTTAAATTTCAAAATCGGTTCGGTATAGCTCTCATATATATATGTTTCATCCGATATGGTGTTTAAGACCCTCACATTCGTAATGAGCATTCGACAACAATTATAGTTGGTACCAGTTTTCTTATAAAGCTCGGAAATATCTTTGCCAAATTTAATGAGAACGGCTAAGATTCGGATATAGCTCTCATATATATCATTAATCCGAGTTAAGGTTTATTGTACAAATTATGGCGAATATCATCCCAAATGGAGTGAATTTCGAGACGTACGTTTCCATTTTGTGCAACTCGTAGTAGACCACAAAACCAGACCTAATTTTGTGTAAATATTACAACTAGTAGTACTCCCATCGCTCAGTATTAAATTTTTCTGCTTTATTTTTGCAAAATGCATTTGATTTTCAACATTTGTTTTAATTTGGTCGTGCAAGTTCAATGAGAAATCGACACGAATTTCACATTTTGGGAAAATTAGAAGTTTTTCAAATTTCTACGGGAGGTAATAGATCAGCAACTGATTGTACGCTGTTTTTAAAAATAAATTTCTACGATTTCGAAGCGTTGTTCTCGAGCCCTGCCCAAATTTTAGCCTTAGCTTTTTGATCGGGGGCATTTGCCCAATATTGACGCACTCACTCGTGTTCTTAGGTATTAAAAACAATTTCATAAGAATGTTGTGGTCCATTTTACAGCTAAATATAATGCAGTGGCCATCTTTCGCGACTATCGGACGATAAATGTAACCTGTATATAATAACCTCAGCACATAGTGTTGCGGAGTGAAGAAAAACTTTAGAAAATGTACAACGCAAAATGGTAAGTCAAATCGAAATATGACTAAATTAAAAAAAAAAAAAATGTAACAAAAAATTTTCACTTTTTACTGCCGTATTCTTACGCCTTTTTCTTATATTTTATTCTTTTCTGTCAAGAGACCATTTCAAATTGAAGAGAATTGTGAAAATTAGTCCAGCGGTTCTTGACTTATAAGCAGAATAACTAATATATTTATTTTGCATATATATAGTACCTATTTTCTTTATATCCGATATCTTGGCTATCAGAACATAGGAACAGTCAGAAATGTATTTGTTACTTTGTCGAGTTAGAAAATATTCGCGGTTAAGCGGAAAATTTCGTAGTCCAGTTCGGTAGGTTTCTATCCAGCTCTAAATTCTAACGGAAAATTTCCGCGTCGATCGGTTTATAATTGTGGTCTATAAAGCAACTGCAAAATCTGCAAATTTTTCTGTTTTTGGTCCACTTCAACCCCTAAATATTTTACGATCATCTTCAAAAACAATAGGTTTCTAAGCTGCCGGCCATGGTAATGGTGTGGGCCGCCATAACAGCCGATGGTCGCTCTCCGCTCGAATATTATCGCGAAAATATTCTGGACGGAGTATTAAAGCCAGGGGGACGCAAACATTTTGGCCGCATACCTTGGATATTACAATAGGACTCAGCACCATCGCACTCAGCACGCGTCACCCAAGAAAGGTTACAAAATGAGGTTCCTCGCTTCAATTCCAGCACACAATGACCTCCAAAATCTTCGGATACCAATCCGTTGGACTATTGTGTCTGGAGCATTTTGGAAAGCAAGGTTGGCACTAAAAAATCCAAAGTGTCGATCACCTCAAGCAAGCGCTTCGCCAGGAATGGTCAAAAATACCGCAGAGCAACAAAGGTGGTCAATTCGAATGAATCTAAACTTCTAAAATGTGATGCTTTTTCGGACATTTTTTGTTTTCATTCAATAAAATAAAAAGTAGAAATTATGGCGTTTGAAATTGTTGCAGTTTTTATCTCACCCTGTACATAGTTAGATCAACTCAGCTCGGCAAGATAGAAAGATCCATATATAGTTTCCCATGTCGGGGACCAACATTTTGAAGTGTTTCATAATTTTTGGGCTATATTACGATGTATCAAGTTTGCACCGAATCAGATACTTCCTTCCTTTTCCGGACGGACGGCCAAAGGGATATAACTATATCGACTTTAAATGGGGTCCTATCAATTTGGCAGTGTACTTCCAAAGAAATGCAAGATGTTGATTTTTAAAAATGAATCGTTTGAATCAACCCCGATATAGTTATGTTTTTGAAAACCTTGAGCCCTTGAAAGAAAAAGTATGCACTTGCGGTTCAAAATATTGTGTCCCATTTTTAAAATGTTCGCCCATCACTGCAATCAGTTTACAATGTGGAGAGCAATATCTTTCTTGACTAGTTTTGGTTCATACAACTCAAAACGTTAGTCATATACTGAAAACATCCGTTCGTTCGTTAATTTTAATTCTAAACCGAAATTCATTTTCGTACTACTATGTGTGTAACCCTCTTCCCTTCTAAGTAACGTTCCAATACTATTCGAAAAATGCATTAAAACCCTTATGTGTATTTTTAGGAAGCCAAAATAGTTTGAAACATTGAAATTATATTCTGGAGTTTTATCCTTTTTTAATATTGTGAGCTGAAATAAATTTTGAAGGTTTGGATTATCATAGCACTATTTGAGATATTTAAACTATTTCCGCTCCGTCTTATGTCGATTATAAAATAAATGCATAAATTTGTTAAGATCATTGTATATTTATTAATTTTCTAATATACCCTTAAAGAATCGTTTAGTACTTACCTAATTTGTTAACACCGAAAACTACATATTCCAAAAATACACCACAAACAATGGCCTATTTATAAAAAACTGCCAAAACAACAATAATGTACTACGATGCTGTTGGTGACGCTACAAAATCTTAGTAACTATTTTATTTTGCTGACGAAGACGATGACGTCCACGGATACGTTTTTGTGTGCATTTGTATTTGATAAGATTGAGTTGTGTTGAGTTGAGAGAGTACACGGAAGATGGTTGTTAAAAAATAGTCCAGTTATTATTGTTTTAATATCAAAACAGATGTTTTCAATGTGTAATTATTTGTTTTCATTTAGTTGGAGGGTTGGGGCGGTAAGTTAGCGGATGTTATCGGCATTCACGTGAGCCAAAGAGGAACCAGGTTTGCTTATTTCTGTATTTATAAAACACTCGAGATACGATTTGTGGGATTTGTTGACGAGTATGCTTTAGTTTTGTTTTGGTTTTTTCGCTTAATTGTGACAAATGAACTTTTCAAACACTCTTTTTTTGTTTTGTGCAAATTGCAAGGTGAGATAAATATTATAAATGATTTTTTCATATGAGTTGACACAATTTCATATTTCTTTCTGGTTGCAAATAAACTAGAAATAAATTACGACCACACACGCTCTCTCTCTGTTTTCTTCCTTTCTTCATTTATTTATATATTTACTTTTTTCTGTTGTGGACAAAATGCTTAGACATTCACTTGTATAAAGACATTTTTCTACAAATTATTCATTTTTTGTTGATGTTGTTGTTGTTGCTGTTGTGCTTGGTTTTCTTTCATAAATCATCAAACTTGTGCTCGGACTTAAAGGTCAGACACACAAAACACTTGTGCATGTATTTACTCGGAGATATGATTTACTTATTCACTATTGTTGTTGGTATTTTTTTTAACATAAATTTCAATTACAATAAATTTGTAAAGGTGGGCTATGTTTTCTTATTCTGTGTGTTTTTTTTTTTTTTTTTTTCAATTTTTTATCATTCCATTAAAAACGACTTCCATTAAAAATGCTATTGGTTTTTTTTCTTGCTTTATTGTTTTGCTTTTCGGTTTGTCAGTTATATAGATAACACTAATTAATCATGACATTTGGCTTTTGTTATTATTAAAAATTTTAATTTGCGCCTCAGACGCACACAATTGATTTTTTCCTCAATGGTCACCCAATTTTGCCGCGGTCGCTGTTGTTCACTTATCTTTTCTTGCGTTTTGCCACAGAATTGAACTCAAATATTTGTAGTTTATTTCTTTTCTGGATATATTTTCAGTGGTCAAATAATTAATATTTCTTATACAAAAGCATATTGGTTTCCCCTAATTTTTACTTAGAAAATATTTTATTTACATTTAATTTTATTTGATTTTCTTCTTTTTCAATATTCCACAAAGTATTATTTATTTTTTCATGATTTTTTTTTTCAAAATAAATTTTCCCGTTTAACAACTTTAATTTTACTCCGCGTCAATTCCACAACACTTTGCTGGTATTCTCGTTTTCATTTACTTTCTCTTTAACATTGAAACTCTGGCCAGTTGTTTGGAGTTAACATTTGAACAAGAACCACACGAAAGGATGAACAAAAAACCCTTCTTTCACTGAATTACATACTTTATACGTGTGTATGTGTGTGTGTGTATTTTTGTAGGGGCGTGAGTGTGGGAAATTTAAAACATCAGTTAAAGAAGTTGTTGGCGTTAGCGTTGTTGTTGCTTCTGTTTTTGTTGTAGAAGAGATAAACACAAACACAAATTTTAAAACGAATTCTGCATATCCGCTTTACAATTGTATTTCTTCACGCGCGCACGATAGAAATTTAACTGGAACCTTTCACTTGGCTGGTTCTTTGGCTGGCGCTGTACACCAAACGACAAACGAGGAGCTCAGCAGCCACTACAGCGGCAGAAGAAATGCGCAGCCACGTCAACTGTAAACACAAGCAATAACAGCAGTCACTGTTAAACTGTAAAATATTCCCCCCAGCACAGCAACGAACAAGCGCCCGAACTGTGGCCGTAACAGAACAATACATATGTTACACAAGCATTGCATGTTAAAAACAATGTTAACATTCGTTTTATGTTTGGCGCCACACTCGTATGTACCAATCATCGAAAATGGGTGATGGCAGCGTCAGCGTCAGCTTCGTCGAAGTTAACGTCAACGATAAAGAAAGTCAATTGCCTCACATAAATTCATAACAGAATCAGAAACAAACAATACGCTGAGAGCTTTTTTGAAGAGAGAGAATGAGAATTTATGTGAACATTGTTTTGATTTGTTATTTCCCCTTTTGTCTACTACATTTCTCTCTCAAGGAACATTAAATTACTCTCTCGGAGAAACACAATTTCTTGCTCTCCCGGTGATGGTCCCTTAAGATGTTGTTGGTTTACCTAACAACAGGTCGTATGAGTTATGGCAAATGACAATATCAAACGTAATTGTACATACGCCAGCCAACCCCTGTTAAACGTAGGGGAGGAAATTTCATTGGCCAGTGTGTCAGTGGGTTTGTGTAATAAAGGTGCATAGAGTTGCCATGATTTTGAAATGAATTAAAAAGTACTTCAACTTGAATATATTTGCTAATATTGCTCACTCAAATATCAACTACTAATTAAGGACCTGTTTCTATATGATGATACAAATGTGAATGTGAAAAAAAAAACACAAATTCTAATGTCATTTTACAGTTTTTAATTTATGTACCTTACATCACTACGTATTGTGGGTATTATAAATAAAATATTAGTCCAAAACATAGGAAACTATATATGTGTCTACCTATCTCGCCAAGCTATGTATGTCTGTCCGTCCGTCTGGTCATCTGTCCATTTAAAATTGTAATCACGCTACAGGTCGCAATTATGACCGGTCTTTATGAAATCGTGCATGAAGTTGGACTTAAGATCAGAACAGAAGTCTTGGAGATGACCGCAAAACCTTTTGCAGTGGAAATGAAACCATTTGCAACCGAAATGAAACTTTTTGCAAATCAAATGAAACTTTTAAATTTATAGAAGGAAAAATAACAAAACATTTTTATTTTTAGTATTTTTATACCTTACAACACTATGTGCTGGGGGTGTTATAAGTTTGATTGGGCCAAAAATTATGTAACACCACGAAATATTGGTTTCCCACATAGGAAAGTATGTATGGATCTTCCTATCTCGCCGAGCGATCTAGCAATGTATGTCCGTCCGTCTGTCCATGTTAATTTGTAATCACTCTACAGGTCGCAATTATGACCCGATCTTCACGAAATTTAGAATGGAGGTGGGGTTAATGTCAGAATAGAACCCTATTTCTTTTGGAGATGATCGCATAATATTTAGGGGTTGAAATGGACCAAAAACTGAAAAATTCCTTATTTTGCAGTTGCTCTACAGGTCGCAATTATAGGCCAATCGACGCGGAAGTTAGCATGAGGCTAGAGCTTAGGGCAGGGCAGAAGCCTTCCACTTTTGATGGTCATCGGGTAATATTTAGTGGATGAAAAAAGCTATGACATTTGAGTTAAATAAAATCAAATTTTCCATTAAACCGCGAATATTTTTAATCCCGGTGAAATCACAAATAGACGAACAGGTCAATCCTGACCGTTACGTAGATGCCAATAGTAAATATTTCGGATACATATAGCGGAATATATACAATGTATATATACAAAGGAAGGGGATGTTAGCTAAAATACTTATACCTCAAGAATGGCTGAACCGATTTTGACAATCCAGAATGCCCTCATGGCATAAAAGGATAAAATCTAAAAAACGCATAAAAAGACGCCTATAATGATGTTAATATAGATTTTTAAGTATTTTGTGACATATTTTTATTTTTCATATTTTTTGTCGCATGCAATTTTTCAATTTGACTTATAATATTAAAGTGTATATTTTGTAATGTTTTTTCACCTTACAACGCAGGTTGGGGATATTGTATATATAAATTACTTATCGTCAGATCCTCACGAAAAGTGTAGCGTTAGGCTCAGAATGGCTAGGCCTATTGTTTTTAAAGATGTCCGTAATATATTTAGGAGTTGAAATTGACCAACAAAACATGTTACTGATTTTGCAGCCGTTATAATACAAATAGAAACCAAACGATACAAAATCTCGCATGAAGTTAGAGTTAAGGACTCTGGGTAGAATGGACCTCTACTTTGTGTAAAAAATACCAGCATTACTTACAGGCGATTACCGACGATAGCCAAATATCGTAGACAAGAAAATCATATAGATGAGTCTAAATTTGGACATTCAGAGGGGCCTCTTGCTTTTGGAGATGGTTCAAATGAACCAAAAACAGAAAAGCCATTTGACATGCCTGGGAAGAGCGATAAGGACAGGAAAGAATTCTAGGAATTCTGCACAACAACTAACAACACGACATAGTTCGTAAATATAGGGCAAATGTCCCTGTTCAAAATGCTAAGGGTAATATCTGCGTGACATAGATTCAAAAGCGAAATCTTCCAAAATGGATTAGGACATAAGAGGGCTTCTAACATGTTGTAGTGTTGTAGGGTATCACATGGTCGGCCCCGCACGGCTATAGCCTTTGCTTACTTGTTTTATAATATTATTCTCAAGCTGTATTGTATTTTTGGTATGTTGGGACTTCTTTGCACCAGTAGGTACGATTCAATTTTAGAATTTGCATACCAAATATCAGAAATTTATATATAATCGTACAAAATCTAGAACTTTTTAAAAAACCGCACTATATTTCTTGGACTAAGTTATCGCCTTTGAAGAAAAGAAAATTATGTAATTATAATTGTATGCTACTTATCGAAATCTCCTGTGACTTAAGAGAAATTGTAGCTCGTTAAATGTCTATTTTATAATTATGTTAAAATGCTGTGACTTGAAATACATATACATTTTTGTCTTTCAAACTAACTATAATATCGCAAACATTTCCCAACTTAAGATAATCTCTTAAGGAAATAACCTCAAAATTGAGTATTATGTTAAAAATAAAAACTGTCTTTTTTGCGTTTTTTTCTTTAACAATTTCGATAGCCAAAATATTACATGAAACCGCATTATTGCTACACAAACTGAGTTCAAATGAGTTTTAGGCGAATTACCCAATCTACTCAAGCTTTAACATTTTGTGACTAAATAGGAAATTTTGGATGCATATTTTATACCGGGCATATCAACATTTATATATTTGGATATTATATTTTTATTTTAAGAAATAAAAAGTTGGACATTTTTATAAGAAATGGCAACACTGATTATTCAAAGACTCCCATTCAATGTAAACACATTAAACGGTTGCCTCAGCTTTCACTCTCACTACATTCTTGTGTCTTATCCGAGTAACGACCAAAAATTATAGCATGCTATATTTTTGATATTTAGGTATGAAATCTGTTCGGGTAGCTGTTATATGACTGTTAAGAGGAATAATGTTAATATTATTTAACATGCTAAATAATTGGATGATGTTTCTTATATATATACGTCAAAGTAATATTTAAGTGTGATTTAGGCAATCTCTAAGGTCATTTCTTTCACAGTTTTTTTTTTAATTTTCGAAATATCCACCCTTCGATGATAAATATATATGATTCTACAATTATTAAATTATTAATTGAAAAATAAACCCTTTAAGAATTCATTAAATATGTGGTTTTTCATTTAGAAGCAATCGTTTTATTAAGTCAAAAATCATGCCATTTTAATTTATCTGAGTACCAAAAAAAATCAATCGGATATTAAATGCCATTATAGTTGTTTTCATAAAAAAAATAATTTAGGGAATACCATTGTTTCAGGAAGTTGAAAATCCACCTTCGTTCCCTTGGATTTATTTAAAACCCTTTTTATTTAGCGTTGTTTTTCCCTGTCACAATTCAGTACCTTTTGAAAATTTTAATCTTTATTTCAGATTTGCGTCATAAAATTGATCCAGTGAATGCTAAGGAATTTAAATATTTTGATGTCCTTAATTTCATGTATGTTGTTTGTTAAAATATTTTTTAATTCTTTTATTTTTTCAAATTTATTTTTTGAAATTTTCAATTTTTTTTTTGATTTTTTTTTTAATTTTGGCAGAAAAAGTACCAGCGAGGGAAAAAAACATTATTGGGTTGGTCTAAACTTGATAAAAAAAAATTGGAAAATTACTTTACATTTTACAAGAGCTTTTGTTGTTATCATTTTTGTTGACACATTGTGGAGAAGAAATCGTAAGTATTGAACCTATTTTGCCCATCTGTACATTCGACATAGATTTGTTAAAGAGATTACCAACTTTGAACATCGGATACTATCTTCGAGACTCATAGTTCGCACCAGCCGGTCAGACGGACAGACACGGCTAGATCAACTCCAAATGTCCTGGAAGGGGTTTTCAAAGATTCATAGGTCCTAAACCCGTTATTTCGATGAGGTAATTTGACCATATCAAATGATGTATACCTTATATTGCCATATAGCTGCGGTTATAAAAATATGGTGACATATGAAGCGTAAACGAAAAAAGTTTTAAACCTATTTAGGGACATGCCACGCCCATTACATAAAAAAACTTTGAACTAATTTTTGCTCTTCCTTATTTTTAATATATCTCTATAAAAACAATTTAAAAAGTATCAGTCGGGTTGCCGAAAGATGTATACCCTCAGCCTAAATTCGATTATTTACATACATTTTGACTTATGTTAAAATTATTCAAATTGTTGACCCTTGGTCAGACTTGGTAATGGGCCAATATTTTCTATTTCGTAGTGGACCTAAATTAATATGCGAGGTGTCAGTTTCGGACTATATTGTTTACTTCCTTCACTTTATATGAGATGTGTGATAATTTGAGAAGAGGTTC